TTTTTAGTTTATTGCAGGAACATGAATTGCAATTGAAATTATGCATCTATCCTGTCTCTATATACATTATAAATTCCTATATTATTTGCAGCACTTTTATGACTAATTCACAGGTAGCGAACGCTGTTACGGCTTTTTTTCATTTCATTTGATCAATAACAGATGTTGCTGCAGTTCCAGTATGAGGTAAACATAAAGCAAAGATGATCAATTATTTTGGTATACATTATACGGTATTATTAGGTATAGCACACCAAAATAATTACAACAAACACATGTTATTTGATGGTTGCAATGATCAAGCTTTATGAAAGCTTCAAAAAAACAAAAAACAGAATTGAAATCGGTCAATGCGTTCTGATTTTATATCATTTTTTTGATATCGCAAAATTACCGAAAAACCTGCCAGAAATGGTCAAATGTCAAAAATGGCATAATTCGACAAAGTTGACAACTTAATTCATCACTTTCTTGGACACAACTAATAAATTAAATTATCAAACACTAAAATATCATCTTTGTGGAAAAAAAATACAAAAAAGAAAATTCGTATATCTATTACCGTTTTGAAAACAGAAGCCAACAAAATAAGTCATTTTTGCCATTATTACGAATCTGCAGATATAAAAAGTTGTGAAAATAACTAAGTCCGCCTAATTAATATGCGCATATGTAATCAAATCAAAACCGAACATGATACATCAGTGAAACATATGAATATCAGACAGGTATGGAAATATATTTCATTTGTAATAAAATAGAATCATGAATATTCATCAAATATGCAAATTAGGTCATTTCTGCTAATTATATATTCGCGCACTCATTATGCAAATCTTTAAATCATATATTCATAGATCATATTTACACCAAATATTGACCTTAAATTCCTAATATTTTTGCAATGCCATACAATATGGCGATGGAAATTACTTGGATCACCGTCACAGCTATTTCCTCTTGTGTTTCACAAATAATTCAAAAAACCGATCATATGATTAGAATTTGTAGACTTTCAGCTACATCACAGTATATCTGCCTTTTTCATAGATGTCAGATTTGAGGATTTATGAAGATTTTCCGAGATACCATTCAACTGGCCATAACATTCCACAGGACTGAATTTTAGAGTGACAGAAACTTTAGTGACCCCAGTACAGTTGTGTCTACCTTGAGTGTAAATACATATTAATTCAATGAGTGAAACACATGAGGATATTGCATTTTTGTAGGGAATTTTATACATTGAGGTGCATTTTTTTCACCACGCAGAATAGCAGCGCGAGTCAATGGCGATCAGTGGGCCATGTCACACATGGCTGAAAATACAATATTCTAATTCAATATTAACATATTTCCACATGCCTACTACAATAACACTACACAGAATTGTAGTTAAAGATATGCTTGAATATATGTGAAATACAATTCAAAATATTGTTTAGTTTTTTTTAAAATACATTTACAAAAATTGCTATTTTCTACCACTGACTGCCGTTGTGTGTGTGTGTGTTCGCGGGGCAAACTGTTTGCACAGGCAGTGTGATCACCCTAGTATTATTTGAATCTCTGTTTTTACTCTATTGTTATTTGTTTAATCTTATCAAGTAATTTATCAACTAATCAGTTTTTTCTCTTTTAACAGCTACATGTACTGTACTTAATAAGAGTACGTACATTTTCAAAAACTGTACACTCTAATGGCAAACAAAGAGGAAATGAAAATAAAATCTACCGATGCCATACGATGTTTAATGCCGTTACCCGAGTAATGCATACGGAGTGTAGTAATAATGATTCATTACACGATTTGAATAATATAGATCACTGGAAGTTGTTCCAACACCAATGATAATGTAAAGCTTGAAATTACCAGCAACACGAAGTACAAAAAAAAACTCAAAGGTAATTTCAATAGCCTAATGCATGCCCCACACAAATTATTTTCGGATTTCGTAAAATGACATTGTCATGTTTTCACATTTCCTATGTAATGCACATGGCTACTAAATTTGCATTAGGTTGATTTTTTTTCTCAAAAGTATCTTATGGTTTAACAGTAAATATTTTGTATATACATGGTTCAATAACAGATCTTACAATCCATAGACAATGCCATTTTGAGTGATTTCATTTTTATGGAAATTTTAGGTAACTATTGCTCGATTAAATCAACTGCTGATTATTTCAACAGTGTATTTACACATGTATACTATGTTATTCAACAGTGTATATATACATGTATACTATGCTATTCAACTGCAATACATGAACAGGAATAGTCTATGCTGATCGAATATTATACACAGACGATCACACACAGAATGAATTACAGCTTTGTCTATATGATAAAAGATATGAAAGCTTAATGCTGTCAACAAAAATAATGCAGGAATAAAGTTTAAATTCAATATGTTCAGGGTACACAACCTGAAATTTCTAAGGACTCTTGATTCGACCATTACTACAAAACATACCATACATATTATATATATATACGTATATAACGAGCATTTCCATAGAATAGCCTTAAAAACACCACAAATAGCTATATAGATCACCGAAGGAAGTATATTAAATTCATTGTGTCGAATTTATCTTGAAATCATTGTGCTCAAAATGGTAATGTTTTGAAAATTTAAATCATTGCCTCTTCAAACACGTCGTATACGTATTTATTCGCACTTTCTCCCTTCTTCTTACGTTATAATTATCACATTATGCAACAATGAACTTTTACTAACGTAGTATACTTTTATCATGCATAATTATTATGCAATAAAATTACGTATTTCTAACATCTTAAATTATTTTGCGAATATTTATACATGTATATGTGTAGTTTTTACTCATGTGTTACGTTTCTCTTATCTCTGCATGAATTTAGATGTAATCTGTTCATTTCAGGCTTTGCTACTGTTAATAATATATCAACGATCGAATAAAGGTGGGGCTAAAACCGGATCGGGTTGTTTCATTACAATCTAACATCAGCTTTATGCCGGTGTACATTGAAAATATATAACCGTCATGCCCGTAGCAAACAAGCATTATAATTAACTAGAAATAAGTTAGTAAACTAAAGATACTTTTGTTTCACTTTCCTTATATTTACTCAACGGTGATTTATTTTAAATAATCAATCAAATGCCAGTTTAAGTATATTTCATTTAATAATTTCACAAAATTATATTTAATTAACTAATGGAATGCTATATTAATTCCGATGTCAGGCAGCCAAGCCTGAACTGTTCACATAATCACCCCCCCCCCCCAAAAAAAAAAATGCAATTAACATTCCATCACAATACTATACCAATATGATACTTACAAGGAACACCACAAAGGATAGGCGATTTGGAGTGGTGTAAGAGCATCATAGTTAAATATTTCGTTTCCTTCCCTCTGGATAATGTACTTTTTGTCTTCTCTCGGACTGAGCGATCAGAGCCGGAGAAGCACGTACACTAATCCTCGAACGTCAGATTAGGCGGTGTCACACAGAGGCAAACATCAAGATTTTAGTTATCCGGATTATTCGTAGCCTGTCTGTCACCAGTCTGGGCCAGTCTGTCAACGACGTAAATGAAAAAATGGATTTCTAAAATCTAGTTTATTCAAGATGGTCGGGATTTTTCTGTGTGACACCGCATATTGAGAGTCAGAAAATAAGTCAAATTCTGTTTTTTTAAGAACTTAATGTGCGTATATAAATGGTGCGTATAAATGATGCGCGTATAAATAATATTGCACATTCACATTACACTGATAAATCATGTAAAAAATACATTTAATGCTATCAGGCCATGAAAGTAATTATACAGTCAAAGATCATACGGAGATAATACTATTGCATGGTATTTAATTGAAATTAGACAAAAATATTTTGTAGTGAAATATGGAAGAATTTAGTTAAAAGCTAAGCTTGTAAATTCCCTCGTACTGTATAAACAAGAGCAGGTTATTGAGCATCTGGATTATGTTAATTACAAATTGAAAGAACGAATGGGGCCATCTCGAGCCGTCACTTACCCCCAGCAATGCCGTAGGGAGCTGACGCATTACCTCCTCGCGCTCCGTGCCCCTGCTGCAATTCTGCACGCCACCGATGACACTTCCTCTTCGCTCTTCTTGGCCCTGTTGTAACTATGCAGGCCACCAAAGAAATTTTCTTCTGAACATTAATATAAAAAAGTGGAATGTAATAAGAAAGAAATAAAAAAATAATAATACCAAAATGAATTTACATAAAACAATAGATGGTTACATGAGGAGTTATTATGGTGTAAGAAAGAAATCACTTGTATCAGTGATTACGCCAGGGCTTGGAAACATTCTCTTCCATTCAAAACAAATTCTAACCGAATTACTGACTTGATGACAGAAATGGATTAATTAAGAAAGGATCAAGTACAAAAGGTAAAGGATAAAGAAAATAATTTATCAGATTTCCTCCTTTGAACTTTCTTTAGTATGTGTGGTCGACGTAACAGTGCTATACATTCCTATTCAAGTAGACATTTTTCATCTTCTAAGAACTCCCATAGTTAAAAAAAAAAAAAAAAAAAAATTGTTATGATACAAATCCTTGAACAGCCTGAATAACAAACTAGCTGAAAGCCCCTCTAACAATTAATTTAAGAGAATTAAATAATCAGGACAAATTGTTTATCATGCTGGATCATACAGGTAGGCTTATAGACTGTTCATGGTATATACTGTCCTGCCGTTATCCTTGTATGATGTTCTTCTTTGTCCTCCTATTTCGTTTCCTTGTCTTTTTTCTTTCTTTATTTTCTTCTTCTTGTTTTTTTTTTCTTTTTTTCTTCTCACTGTTCTTTTTAAAATTTCCGTACTGGTAAATAAAGTCCTTAGGGAAGGGAAACGAAACCAACAAGAGTCAGCACACACAAACGCACACACACACACACGCGCGCGTGCTCAGGCACACAAGCATAAAAAAATGTTATGGTTTGTGAAAATATAATGTATTTACTTACTTCACACGATTCGCATCATGAAGCCTGCCAATGTCAAACCTATGTAAATCTTCCAATCAATGAATGCTGTATTGTGAATCGTTCTACATCCATTGCCTAAAAAAGGTAAGAATGTATATGGGTGTTGAATGTATCAAAGATATTATAACAACTGGAATACGCTTGATTTATAAAATGCAAATATATTGAGTGCTATTTGCACAATCCTGAATAATTACAATATACCACTCATGTTGGTCAAAGAAAGATGAACGATTAAGAATAGATGCGTAATATAAGCTTTGTAAACAAAAAAGAAATGGAAAAAAAAAATCTGCAATTTAGTTATTTCTTTATTCAGTTTTCTGGTGATATAACGCACATACATGTAAAAACAAAATCTATTTGCTGCTCTCAATTCTTAATAATGCTCAAAGGAAAACGTGGTTTATCTCACCTGCAAATGGCACAGATGTGACCAAAGTTGACACCGTTGTTGTTCTTTTTTCCATCAGGCTGCCAGTGGTGATATCACGCAAGTCCGATGACCCTCCTCCCTGGTAGTTTAAGTAGGAAAAGGAACAATCTACTCGTGATGCACTCTTGGTCTGAGGCAGTGTGCAACTGACCGATATCGTGTATGTCCCGTCTTCATGCACGACTGCATATGTCTCAGTACTGTCAGGAATTCCGTCGAAATTCAACACCGGGAATGTCAATGGCTTCACGTGCTCAACAGTGCAATGAACACGATTCAACTCAGTGTCCAAAGCTATCTTCGGGTCGATTCGAGGCAGAGCTAAACAAATGTAAAAAAACGAAAAAATACAAAACAAAAAAAGATTAACGAAAATTAAATGATAATTGGAGGACTTTAAAACTTCCTGAGCGAGTCGAACATTTGACACGTAATCTTATACTCCCAAAAATGTTCGGAAATTTGAGTTGTACTGAAAATATCTGTCGGATCCCTACCGTTAGCACCGCGCTTTTTCTTGTATTCAAGGAAAGCCTTTTTATTTCCTATTAGAGAATGGCTCATGTTCAGTGGTCATTATGTTTGTTAACATCGGTAGATATGAACAAGAGAATGAGTCTGAAGTATATTCCTGCATGCATCGCTATCGTTAGAGATGTACTTATAATATTTGTTTGTCTGTTTAGTACATTCTGTTTGGTAGAAGTTAAAACCCTGAACATGGAAGCACCTCAGCGGTATGCCATCTGTCCCATGCTCTTTTATATCTATACTTGTAACCGTGTAAAGCTCTTCCTCAAGCCAACTTTTCAAGTATGCAGATAAAACGGTACTTTTAGGTTTTATGACTGACAATACAAGCAAAATGCTCTTGTAAGCAAGTTTGTAGAGTGGCGTAATCGACACCACCTTATTGTTGAATGTCACGAAGACCCCCCCCCCCAAAAAAAAAATTATCACTTTCTGAGAAACCCAAACAAAATTATTACCTCCGATTACTATTCGTGGGCAGGCGCGTACGTAGTAGGGGGGGGGGGGGGGGGGGTGTTTAGGGGGTTAAACCCCCTTTGGGTTTTTTTATGTGTGTAAACCCCCCTAAAAAATCCCTAACCCCCCCCCCCACCCTTTGGATTTTTTTTTTTAATAATAAAAAAAAAAAAAAAAAAAAAAAAAAAATTACCCCCATGGCTGACCTAAGAAAGGTGACCTTACCCCCCCCCCCAACGGAGCAAAATGTCAAATTTTCCCCCCCCCCCCCCCCCCCCCCCCCCCCCCCCCCCCCCCCCCCCCCCCCCCCCCCCCCCCCCCCCCCCCCCCCCGAGCGACTTTTTGGCCGGCGCGATTTTCAAATTTCCTGTGTCGTTGAATTTTGGACCCGATTTTAAAACCCCCTTGAAAAAATCCTGCGTACGCCACTGCCAGGGGCGTAGACAACGGGGGGGGGGGGGGATGAGGGGGATGCATCCCCCACCTCACAAGGTGGGGGATGGCATGTACAATCATCCCCCCAGGTTTTGGGGAATGATATTTGCTTACTTAATAAGTCATAATGATGATAATAATAGTAATAATAATAATGATAACAATTATAATATTAATAATAATAATAATTATGATGATGATAATAATAATCCTCATCATTATTGTAATTGTGTTTATTGTTATTAGCCGCATTCACACGGTGAAAGCTAATTCAGACGGTAAAAAAAAAGAAATCTTACAAGTATTTTGTGGTTATCTATTGTGGTTTGGAAACCACAAGATAACCACAAGATTAAACAGGCGCGGATCTACGGGGGGGGGGGAGGTTAGGGGGTTTAAAACCCCCCTTGGGCGGCCCAAAAAACAAACAAAACAAAAAAGGAAAAAAAAAAGAAAAAAAAAGAAAAAAAGAACGCACGCTGGAGAAAAAACCCTTTCAAGTGCAAATATTGTGAGAAGATATTCAACTCATCTGGTAACTTAACCAAACACATGATAACTCTGGATATAACTGTGTATTTAACTGTTACTTGATTTAAAAAGACGTTATCATGCACTGCTTTTTATGGTCTCCATTGTGTTAATAGATGCCAGGAAAACATCACTTACGGGGTTCAAAAAACACACAAAAAAAAAAATCGGCTCGCCGCTTCGCGGCTCGTGGACGATGCTCCGCATCGTCCACATCGTCATTATTTTGGTCAACCCCCCCCCCCTTAGCAAAAGCTAGATCCGCCCCTGAGTCATCCCCCCAGGTGTACGAACCTGCCTACGCCACTGTTTTCAACAGAGCCCTGATTGAGAGTATTGCGACGTACACCATATTATTCTATTTTTGGGAATGTAGTAATGCAAGCAGACAAGAAAAAAGAAACCGTGCTAGGAGAATAACACAACGTATCATTGGCAGTAGTCTATATACAATACCCAATACAATTCTGTAAGAGGAAAGAGAAGTAGCAAAAATCACACATTTCGATAGATGTATAGTTGTATATAATCATAAATAATTATGACCTATAATGCCCGTCATACACGCACACGTATCTTACATCCATCGAGTGGATGTATAGTTTTATCCAATCAGAACGCAGGAAACTGTACAACTATACAACCCTACATCGTCAAATGGATGTATAGTTTTAACCAAATTAGTGCTTACCACTGCGAGATCCCATGCATTATATAAACTTAATTATTAATTTCGTTTTACCCTTTCTTTTCTCTCACCTCAGAATCTTCGGAACAATTTAGCACTGATTGTTTTCTGTATGACATTATTTTTTCCCCGTTTATCACCATCATCTACCATTTGATGTTGACTTTCTTTTTCGTCAATGCTCTATCCAACTCCTCCACAACTACCTACATTTGGTCCTCTTCTACTCTCTTACTCTGTCGACATCCTCATCGTAAAAAACTTATTTCATGTAACTTACCAAACTAAAGCTGTTATAAATGTATTTTATCATTACTTGAACTGTCTAAGATTGTAACTAATTATTTTTGTAAATGGATTTGTAAACTTTTACGAGTGGAAAGCAAATTTCCGAATGGATAATAAATAATCGGTTTCAGTTGTACTGAAGAGTGATATTTTTTCTTTACAGCAATACCATAATGCAATGGGTTTTTTAACCACATGTAAAGCATGCATCTTTTTCGAATGTCTAATTAATCGATTAGGGTTTCACATATATACATGTACATATGTATGTGCATTTTTAGTGATCATGTTTTTCAAACATTCATTATATTCTTGATCATTGTCCGATCTTGTTTATACGAATTGCCCTTTAACAAAAATGACACTCACCATACATAACCGTACGGGTGAAGTACTCTGACTCAGTTAAGGATCGTCCACGTACCACGGAGCACCTGTAGAGACCTTCGTCCTCCAATGTAGCCATGTCAATGGCCAAGGAGAAAGTGGTTTCGTCCATGTGGTAGTTCGGTAGGATTCGTGATTCTCCTTCCCTCCATGATGCCAGACTGGGATCACCGTTTTCAAATGCATCAATGTTCCTGCTCTTGTACCACTGTACTAGACGAACATCTTCATCAACGTTTCCCAAACCGTCACAGGGGATCTTTCCTGTAACTCCTATTTCCAGTGGCGTGACTTCGAATTCCATTGCGTAAATTAGGCCTAGAGAAAGACAAAAAAAATAATTAAAATGGGTAAACGGGTAAGTACATTTATCAGTTTGAAAAAAAAAGCAAATCTATTCAAGCTAATAAAAGAAAAACCAATCAACAGACATTATACGTGATACGTACAGAAATGATCAACCGATCAAGATTATAATCCTAAGACCTGTAATTAAAAGCATTATATTTAGCGCATTATATACTACTTTTGTTATAGAAGCCTATAGTCATCTATTCAAACCTTACATTTTCATACATAAGGTATAAGCAATTCGCGCACACACAGACAGACACCCATTATATTCAAATTATCAGTTTAAAAAAATCATATAAAAGTCCATAGTATCAGACAATATTTACTTAAAGATAAAGTTGAGTTCTGGTCATATGATTGCATTGTGACAGAAACGTTGTGGAATCGCTCAGAAAAGGTTGATCATCTAGCATATAAGTATCGGTAAGTACTGCAAGGTTCTGGAATCATCAAAATGATAAGAAATTTGGCCCAGTCTTGGTAAAGTTACAAGCACTGTACACGGACAGATGTATATGGGACTATACGAACATGTGGCATAAAAATCCGTCCCGATTTTTTGATGTTACACGCCTCATTTAGAATATTAAGGCATTTGAAGAGCCATGCTTTTTCAGGGAACATTTGTTATCTGATGCTGTTCCACACTTGCTTAATACAATGATAACGCTCACAAATTATTGTTCACTTCTTCCTAGAACTCAACCTTCTCTTTAAGTTGAAACTTTGAAGTAGATTGATGTGGATTCAAAGTAAAAGAAACTAATCTATAATTTATGAATTAAAAATACACTTCATGTTTCGATATCTTTATTGCTCAAATGTTTAATACAAGTGAACATAGTCATTAATCTTAAAATCATATACAAAATAGCCTCATATTCATTCGATGATAGTGAAACTAAACATTTATCGAGAAGATTTGTACATAACAATGTTGGTAACCCACATTTTGATAGCCATATATCACATTTATGATTTAAGTGTACCTAACTATGGTTAGACGATATATTTTCTTTGTACATAATTATGTTTAAAATGTGTTATACTAAAGGCACTGGTTTATTTAACCGATATTACATCATTTTGAGGCACCTGAGGGGACCCCACGGGCCCTGAAACTATTCTTCGCGGCCCAATAGTAAATGCTACCTCCCAGGTTGCAAGGCGAGTACAAAACTATAGGGAGAATCTCATGACAAACGAGAGCAGATTCATCCGCCCTATCCAGTGGCACGTTCATGTACGTACACCAGGGGTTTCAGCAGCGCAGCGATCGCACTACGCCGCGGAGGTAAAATGGTCAATGGGCGCGGCAATCGGCCGGCTGCATTTCGTTGTAGCTGTATAGCACTAGCGAACTCCGAAGCGACACTACTATGCGATGTACGTCGGGTAATAATAATAATAATAATAATAATAATAGTGATAAAAACGGTGCTTATTTAAAGGTACTATGTCCCTTTAGCAGCCAACCTCATATTCTGTAGAACTTTGCCAGAATTATGAATATGTCATGTACGTCCTATCTGTGAAATTTAAACGTTAGCAGTGTCCTCATATTAAAATTATGCAAGGAAACCTGTTTACTTGCTAGACTTCACTGTCAGACACTATTGATTGACTGACAGGCATTTTTTCTTCGTTGGTAATAACATACATGAAAAGAGTTGTAAAGGGTACATGAGCATTTTTCTACATCAATAACCCACTTCTTGTGATGGCCAAGATTAAACTGATTGAATCTTTGCGCAGCATAAAACGTATGACCATTCGGTCCAATTGTCTGAAAATCAAGACTATTACTTTTGGGCTCTATAGCCCTAAAGTCGATTTGACAACTAATAGTCATTATTTTCCCATTTGAAGACATTTTCAAGCCCTAACTTTTTCAGGGAAGTTCTAAATTAGTATTATCTTTCAAATGCAGTTGGAATTTAACTTTTTCATTTTTTTGGTCTGCAAATGGGACATAGTACCTTTAAGCAGTGTGACGATGAAGTTGGTTGGATATTCGACATTCATATTCAAAGTTGGTGGGCCCTAAACCCCGATGGGCCCGGGCAAGCATATTTATTTTAAGGAGCCTTGGCCATGGGGCTAGCTGCATGCCCCAGTAAAGACGTCATGTCATTTCTATAGCCCTATATATTCATGGGATACAATTCAGAAATTCTTTGTATAACTTGCCCATGAAAAATCTTGTCTTTGATACCCCTAAACCCCATGGACCAGGGCAAGCTAACTAATTTTCATATATTTCCATATTCATATTCATATTTATTTCATTTCCCGGATCATCCTTGACCCGTTGGGATAGCTGCCTGCCCTGGTAAAGCAGTTAGACGGTTTCTACACCCGGCACCCCTACAAATAGTGCAATGGCTACATATTTGAATCACAAATATTGTATATCCCACGAACTTTGAGTATAAATTTTGCTTAGTGAACGATCTGGTTGTTGACCAAACGGCAATGCACATACGGAACCACAGTCACACCTTCATTTTTAAACTCTCATATGAGTCATACACCTTGTAATTTTAGATGATCATATTGGACGCCTTATTTAGTTGAAAATTTGAAACTCACCGGCTAAAAACGTTAATTCCACGAACACAAAGATTATCACGTATATCCTAATGAACATATCCGATTATCCAAGTTTGGGGCACATATATCCTTATGCAACTGCAATCTTTACCAATCAAGTCTGATCTACGCACGGTGATTTCTTCAGTCAGCACTATTTGTTTTCCGAGCATGCAATGTTACTACTGTAAATTTTCGAAGGGCGAACTAAATTGGTGGTTCGTCTCTCGATTATATATATACAAATTCTGTTACGGTACGCGAATGCTGTACTATCACGCATCCTGTACGGTGGTACCACAGCTGCAGTTCTTCCGTGAACCGTTTCCGTATCGTGCGCCCAATCAGCTGAGAGAATAACAGTCACTGGGTTGTAGGTGGGGGGGGGGGGGGGGGGGAAGAGAAGGGTGGCGGTGGTTGATGTACGGCTGACTACGGCGGGGTGTAGGCGGTGGCGGCGCACAGTGGGCCAGGGAGGAACCAAAGTGCGCCAACATTGTTTTTGGTGATTTTTTGTTCTTCAATTTTTTTCTTGCCCAGTTGAAAGGTAATACATTGAGGAATACCTCAGTAAAATATGTAATTCCGGTTTGCACAATAAGGGTATAAATGTACTCCCTCAAACTACACAATCATTTATATTCACAGTTTTTGTGCAAACGTGACTTATTTTATAAATCTCTCAATTTAGCTCTCACATATTCCTGATAGTTCATTTCGTTTTATGAATGGGTTAACAATGGATAGAAATACAATCTTCATCATATATTATATGGTAGTTCACTGAAAAATGGACTAATTATCCACGTTTTTTATAAATCCAGAGGAAATGTTTGGATTTCCAGGGATTTCCGCTTTAATCTTATTACCAACATCTTTTCTGATGTCTAAGCTTTAAGTTGATACCAGACTAGGCTGCCCGATTCTTCCCGTTGTTATGTTAGAGCCGATTTGCCTTGCAACATTGCCCCGAAAATGTGTTTATTTTGGTCCGCGGCTGAATCATCACTGAAGCATTCGCGGTCATAAATTGCGGGTGGGGGCGCGTAACACTTGTTCTGACACCGCGGACCAGAATAAACACATTTTCGGGGCAATGTGGCAAGGAAAATCGGCTCTAACATAAAAGCAGGCTAAAGAGGGCAGCGAAATCTGGTATTATATCAATGCGGACTGCACACAAAGTCCCGCTTTTTGTGTTTATAGTCTTTTCCTCCTATCATAAATTTATGCTGGAAAGAGTCACAGATTTTAAATGATATCCTGGAAAAATGTACACCACTTGCACGAATTGAGTTTACAAATTCGATTTTTCTTCAGCTTGTCAGGGGGGCACATCCCCCTCAGACGACCCCTTGATTTTCTCACAAATTGCCCCCCCCCCCCCCCTCGCCGCCGGATGGATCCGCCCCTGGATGTGTTCGTGCATTGTTTGGCGTGTTTGACGATGTCGGACTTGTCCCGATCACTGCATGAGTCTGAAGCTGGTTTTGTGTCGTTTGAGTCGTGTTTCTAAATTTCTCCCCGGCCCCCCACTCCGGGGTCGGAATGACCGCATGCGTGTTACCAAAATGTCCGGTAAAGGGGTACTTTTCACGCACCAAAGTCCGGCTCGTACATAAACATTATTGACTTTACACACCGGACTTAGGGGGGTGTTTTCAAAAGGAGGGAACACGCATGTGCGTACCCTAAATAACACTGAGTGGGGGGGGGATTTCTCCCAGATTCGCCAATGTAGTCTTTTCCGCATAGAACACTTTCCAAATTTCCAAATTTTCACTTAAGGCTCAATACCATCTTACTATTTACCCATAAAAAGAGGTAGCTTCAAGTAATATTACAAATAAGAGATTTTAAGTATATGCCTACAGGTAAAGTAAAATAGGCCGATTAGTGTTTCCGCTTCTTAATATAAAAGAGGCTATAAGGAGAACATTCGTTTAAAGGAAATTAAAAAGATCAAAAGAAAAGAAAACTCCTGCTTCTGCTTATAGTGAATTTAACTACTACTATCTGGTGTCCTACTTACGTAGTCTGCACCGACGTTCTGCAAGAGCCCATCTCAGGATCCTTGCGTTTACTACCTTCGATTTTGCAATACACTGCAGTGGTTGGTGGTCGGTTTCCAAGTAAAATGCTTGCCAGTGATTTTCTCATTCTATAAGGAGAACATTCGTTTAAAGGAAATTAAAAAGATCAAAAGAAAAGAAAACTCCTGCTTCTGCTTATAGTGAATTTAACTACTACTATCTGGTGTCCTACTTACGTAGTCTGCACCGACGTTCTGCAAGAGCCCATCTCAGGATCCTTGCGTTTACTACCTTCGATTTTGCAATACACTGCAGTGGTTGGTGGTCGGTTTCCAAGTAAAATGCTTGCCATATGGTTCAAACTTCTGAATTCCACATACTACTGCTAAGCATTCACGTTCCATAACGCAGTAACTCTGCTCTCTTGAGAGAAGTTTCCTTTACTGGCGTAGGTGATAAGGAACCTTTTCCCCTCTGTCTCCTGTAGCACAATTGCAACGTACAAGACCATTATCTGAGCCATCAGTCCTCAGGATGAAAGGATGATCAAATTTCTGGAAGATGGAGAATGGGTTCACTACCAAGTTTCTTCTTCAAGGTAATGAAAGCTGCCTCTTCCTCATCTTCGCATTTCACTAGAAGTGGCTCTCCTTTCTTCGTGTGGTCAGTCAGGGTTACTGCTATTGCTGCGAAGTTGGGAATAAACCGCCTGCAATAACCTACACGACCTAGAAAGGATCGAAATTGCGCCTTGAACTGCATCGACTTTGTCTTGCACTGGTCGAAGCTCTCCTTGACCTATTTGATGACCAGGAAATTCGATACTTACACCTCCTTTACCGTGCACTTGGTTGGTCTCGCCGTCGAGTAACTCCTGGAGGGTATCTAAATGCTCCTCAAAACTTACGCATGTATATGCCCCTTTCAGAGCCGGATGACCACTCACTGGCCACGAAACTGACGCCGCGTAGGGGCATTCCCATTTATATATTCGAATGAAATTGTCTACACCATGCAAGCCACGGAACAAAACCCTCATGATACGACTGAGGCTTTCCGGAGCACTAACCAGCCCAAATGGCATGCTTCGAAATTGATACAAACCATCCGGTGTCACAAATGATGTGAGTTCCTTGGCATACATACCTTCTCTTAATGAGGTAGAGACAAATATTCTTGATAAACCAAAATATGAAAAAAAAATTGTATAGTATTGTATAGTATTGCTGCAAATGAAAGCCCTGGAAATGACTGCCTTCCTGTCGAGTTTTATAGAAAATTTTGGAATATCTAAGAAGATATCCATTTAGAATCAGTGAGTTTAAGTTTGGAGAGGGGATAATTTACAACTTTGCAAAAACAAGCAATCATCACGCTGATTATAAAAGAAAAGGAAAGGATGAACAGTACCTGAAAAATTGGAGACCAATATCACTACTCAATGCTGATATTAAAATTGCATCGAAAGTTGTTGCTACCGATTATGTAAAATTCTGCCACAGTTAATAAATTCATGTCGGACAGATTTCATAAATGATCGTTACATAGGCGAATCAATTCGAACAATTTAAGATACTATGTTCTATACAAAAGAAAAAGACATTCCAGGTCTTCTTTTATTCTTAAACTATCAAAAGGCTTTTGATTCTTTGGAGTGAGATTTTATTTTCAATATTCTTGATAAATTTGGTTTCGGCCAGAATTTTCAAAAGTATTTTCGGTCTTTTTATACAAATATTAGCAGTTGTATTTGTAGCCATAGACATTCATCAGGATATTTTGAATTACATAGAGGTGTCCGACAAGAAGACCCCCTGTCGCCTTATTCATTTATAATCTGTATTGAAGCCCTTGCATGTGGGATCAGACAAAGAGATGAAATTAAAGGTGGTATACTTGTATATGATCATATGATTAAATTTACTCAATATGCAGATGATACAACATTGAATTTAGCGGACAAAGTGTCAGCAGAAGTGGCCTTGTCAGTTATTAATAATTTTTCTTCTTTTTCTGGTTTAAAAATCAACAAAGATAAGTGTAAATCTATGTGGTTGGGCTCAAATAGAGAGTCACATGATAAATATTTTGAGATTGAATTACCAGACGAACCTAGGGTCTTGGATGTTTTCCTCTAATACGACACTGATTCAGCTTTAAAGCTTAATTTCCGTCGATAAATGTATTAAAGATGTTAAGATATTTTTAAAAATATGGAGAAAAAGAAATCTTACTTCATAATAGGAAAAATACAAATTCTAAAAACTTGCTGGTAACATCTGTTTTGTAAAAGAACTATTCTGTATTGGTATAGACAAATAAAGATAGCTGGTAACAGTTGTTTTGTAAAATAACTATTTGATGTTAGTATATGGTATATAGAAGATTTGTTTGATGAAAATGGAAAATTAATTGTTTTTCCAAGTGGCAACGAATTGGTTTTAACAAATTATCTTCTTTGGCGTTCAGTCGTTTCTGCCATGCCGCAGCGTGTATTGAGTGTCTGCATCTCTCAAAACAGCTGGACAATTTTATAATATTTTGTAATAGACAAATGTATATATAAACATTTTCAACAAAGATGATTAATATGGTACTAAAAGAAAATAAATATCACAATCCCACTTCAGAAACCTACTGGAGATCAAAATATGAAATAAATGAAGAAGATTTTGATTTTACTTATGAATTACCGTTCAGAATTATTCCTGATACAAGAACTAGATTTTTCCGATATAAGACAAATACACGATGCTTACTGGCAAATCCAAAGATGAAGAAAATGAAAGTAATGGACAATGGAATGTGTTCTTATTGCAATCAAATTCAATTCAAATTCAAAGTTTATTCAACACTCTTCATAAAAAACATTTAAAACATACAAATACATAATGGAGTTATAAAAAAAACAAGAAAGTGATAACAAATACAATGGCAATTTATAAGAGCATTTGGGAAAGGTAGAAAGGAGGGATTCCTTATATAAAAGCCTACCCCTCAAACACACATACAGGAAAACGAGAACAAAAAAACAAAGAACATACTAAAACTTATTATCATTCACGATCAGAGTACAAAAAAAAATTGCCTATGCTATTAATACTGATTATTATACTTATTTAACAGAAATTATTTATATTTAGTTTTAAAAAGATTGACAGTTTTGCATTTTTTAATTT